TGACGTGATGTGCTTTTTAGATGAATCGGTTCTGACTCGTGTAGGATGCGGTTGCTGTAACGTGTCTGCTGTGAGGGGCGTTTTTCCTGCTGGATTGGGAAAGAGACTGATTTTGATGAATGCAGGCTGCTCTCGGAGCGTTGCGTTTTCTTAGTCTGGATGTTCAGGACCTGCTGTCTTCAGCACTGTTACTTTTGCCCCTTCCTGTTGTGCAAGAGGTAAAATCTTTGGTGATTTAGCAAAGCATGAAGTATTAGATGTTCTAGATTGCCCCAGCCTGAAATGAACAATAGGCTCATTTCTGCTCTTGAGAACTGTTACCTTGCTTGCTTTTCTGTAGGGCTGCCAAAAGGTAGGGAGACTCTGGAAGCAGTGCTGGCTGCCTTTTTAAGAAGGAAGGAAGAGATGTCTAAAACGTGGAATAACGCCAGCATCCGAAGTGCACGAAGCTTGTTGTGGGTTTTGGTTTTTAATCCGGGTAGAAATGTGACTATTGATAGCAAGTGCAACCTTAAAACTGGTGTTTAGGCTCTTGGTTTTCCCACACATTGTAATTGGGGGGTGATGATGGCAGGATGAAGAGGTAATTTTTGCTAACCTGTAACTGTACCCTTGTACAAGAAGTAGCTCCCATCTGTGGGCATACAGCGGATGGCTCCAGAGCTGTAAAGAGAATTAAGGTAGGGCTAAAGAGCATGATAGCGGCTAAGAGCGGAGGTACAGTTGGATGATGGGCACTCTCCTGGTCTCAGCCGTTCACGGTGTGTTGGAAAGATGATCTGCACTGTTCATGGCAAGCCCGTCTTGATTTTATTTGGGTTTGGGTTTTTTTCTATTTGCCGAACTGTCGCAAACCAATGAAGAGAAGAATCGCTTTGTGGCCTGGCTTTAGGATAGTGCTTTTAGGCTAAAGTCCTACGTGTGGCATCAGGCAAAAACACAGCTTGCTTCTGCTCTTAAATCTTGTAATAGTGAAGCGGAGGGATTTTTAGAGGTCAAAATCCCTAGAGTCATTCTCATAGCAGGTAAGAACTAGCCTTTCCCTCTCTGGGCAAAGGCAGCCCTAGCTCCTCCCTCTGAGCCCACTCTGGCTCGCTCGCCTCGCAACAAGAAAGCATTTTTGCTGAACTGGCTCTCAGCAACGCGACAGCTCTCAGAGCCGGCTTGAGGAAGGGGCAGGGCAGGACGTCGCTTCTTTACGCAGCAGTAAGGCTGCGCGCAGGATTTTCGAGGCAGGAGTTGACCTGCAAGCGACCGACTTGTAAAATTCATTTTATTAATACAGGGTTTTTACAGTGAAAGGGATACACACGAGACGCTTCTCTCCCATTCATTTATTCACATTATCCATGGATTTTTGTACACTTCCTCAACGTATCAGAACTAATGAAAACATTGTTACGTGACAAGTTATGTGAAACTTAAGTATCCACTGAAAAAATCAGAGCAGTTTGAAATCTATTAACAAGTAACAAATCATCACATTCAGCATTTTCATTGGATTTATACTAGCTCATGCCACTTTAAATTGTTTAATGTCAGTTAATTTCTGCACACAGGCACCAGCTACAAAATTTTAGCAAATGCAAATAAGTTAAGGCATCAGAAAGTCTTTAAGGATGTTTTAAATGTTACAGTGCTGCAAAGGGAGCTGAAGTTCTTAATAGTAAAGCGTATCTCCTAATTGGTTTACATTCTACAACATGTTCATTTGAACTGTAAGTTTAATTTAAACTTTCACATCCATCAACCAAAAGGGATTATAGGAACACACTGTTGTGCTCCCAAAGAGATAATTTTAAGTACATTAAAAAAACCCAGCCCTGCATATAGCAATTTAATATTTTAAAATAAAATTCAAAGCAACTGTAATAATCTCCTTTACAGATTATTCTGAAGATTAAAAGCAGAGATCTTGATTTTCTGTTTGGGGAATGGGGAGGTGAGAGGGACAGGAAAGACTTCTAAGCAGCTGAAACTTCAAAATTAGAGTAGAAGGAAGGATGCATGATCCATAAGACACTCCAGCACCCATGTACAGCTGAAATGGTGAAGGCATTAACTCGAATTGGGGAGGAAACTTGCGTCTTTAGCATCAGGTATCTGATAGACAGCTGTTAAATATATTTAATTATCTACCAAGATAGAGGAATGCCTCACTGATTTGGAATTCTGATCAAAATTCCTTTCTTGTATAGCGTGTGCCACTTTGTTCTGAAGGCTTTACCGTATTGATTTCTATGCTCTCCACTAACTTTTGCTTTTGACTCATTTTAGGCCTTTATTTCTACGTAATGATCTCTGGCTTTTTACAGTATTTATGTATTTTAATATTTCTTAACTAGAAACTGAAGCATCATCAAAAATTTGTTTTTGTAACGGTACTGGAGAAGGGTTGTGCTTTAGAACTGAATACCAAGTGATAAAGCGTATGACTTATTTTTCATGCTTCACAGTTCAGGTAATTGCAGGGTCACTATGAATGATGCCGATTAAAATCTCTACATTTGCAGTAAAAATCTTCCCTGTTCTTTTAGTGGCAATTTTCCCTGTGTAAAATGTTTAAAATTGTATGCTTATGCATATATTTGACATTCTAATTAAACATGGGATTCCAATTATATACGTTCCCCTAGTTTTACTGACAAATACATATGTTGCTAAAGAATTAAGGTGTCTCATCTCAATTAGTCTCACAGCTAAGATATTACTTGCTGCCATGGATACTCTAGGTTTCATTTTTCCAATGCAATTTATTATTCTATTTATTTTCCCTTACACTCTGTGCTCACCCTCAGAGCGGTGAAAACACGACAGAGTTGCACTAGCCATTCCCTTGGTTTGCCACCTTTAGAACTGAGCCCAATATGCGGGTGCAAAACCCCCAGCCTGCCTCGCTTTGGAAGCAAATCATTATGGATAGGTAGGAAGTTCAGTTTGTCTCTCACTACTTTACGTTAGCTGGTCCACGTTTCAATGGATGAAGCAACAGTTACATGCCTGCAAGCTTTTGGAAGTCAACCACCCCAAAGCCAAGTTCACCAATACGACCTGTACAGAGTTGTTCTTGCAGTGGGATGTGTAACAAACATCCAGTGCTCCAGACTATAAACTCTTCTGTGTGGAGAAGTGTTGAAGACATTACAATCAAACAACAAATGCAAAATTAACTGAGCCCTTAGACATTAAACCTGAGCCTGTAATAAACTTTCAGGCAATGTTCTGCTTTTCAGTCATACAAAATTAACATCCAAACCTGCAGCTTTTGGACGCCAATTTAGGTATCAGCAAGACTTTAAAAAAACAAACCAAAACTATTACTTTCCCTAAAATAATGTCACTTACTTTTAATGGTTAAGTACTGAGCCAGATGAGAAAAAAAAAAGGCACCAATTTATATTTCAAATTGTATCTAAGCTTCCTTTATGCCTGAGTGTTAAAAATGTGATTCTTGTGACCTCAACGTAGCCAAAATGTGAGCAAAGGCCTTTGGTTTTGAACGCTGGTCCAGAGGGCTGTAAGATCCTATAATGTTTTTCCTCCTTTTAGCTGAGAGGGGGGAAAAAAGGCCATAACCTGAATTGTGCAGTGCATAAGGACTCAAGGCAGTCATTTGTGTGTCATCGTCCCCAGAGAGAAACAGGGAGTAGGTGAGATGTGCTGCTGCTAATCAAATGGTGCTGCTACTTTTTTCCCCACCCATAGGATGCCACTGTTGTGGATTTCCAGGTCCCCTGTGAGAATTACATCATGCTGCTTTATTTTTTTAAAGAATGGGATTTTTTTTTCCTCTGTGCTGCACTAGACAGGCATAGGGCAGGATGTTTCTTCCATCTCCCCAGGGCTGGTCACTCTGACAGATCAGAGAGCAGTTCAAGTTTAACATCTAGCTCTTGGATAGTTTCCAGAGCTAGAAGCGAAGCAGAAATCTATTGTTACGGAAGAAGCTTCCAGCAAACAGGATTTGAAAGAGAAAAGGAGTAAATACCCAAACATGGTCTGATAAAGTTGAGATGGAAACTGAGAATAAAATGATGTTCTGATCCACAAATTATTGCCATGTGGTTAATTTTCACACAGCTGAAAACCAAATTACAGATTAACCCAGTGCTCCCTACTTTTGCAACAGAAAGCTTGACCTAACACTGCAAACCACTGCTTTACTTAAAGCAATGCAGTAAAGCAGTGTAGTTTTAGCACACGTGCAAAATTATTACTGACGCACACATACATTTATGCATGTCATCTTGGTAATGGCCCGAGGCAATAGAAAGATCTATAAAAATCCTGAAATTTGCTTGTGGAAAGAGATTATCTTCAGAAAAGTATTAGTAGCAAGACAAGAACAACATTTACAACTCTGCCTCCGCTGGGTTTCAGCTTTAGCCTGAGGAACTAGGGAGGAATACCTCAGAGGGACCATAATGGAAGTGCAACCCTTTGCCTCGGACTTGTCAGAAGCCAGCAAATGCTGGTTGTAGTCCAAGATAAAACAGTCTTCCAGTTGTCTGCTTGTACTATTGCACATCATTAGCTTGTTGCTACAGTAAGAACAGAACTAACAGTTCTTCTCTAAGAAACACTACTGTCAACAAGACTACGCAAGCAAATTTTCTTTTAAATAGCTGGAGATGCAGTCTCTGAGTCCCAAAAGCACATGAGTCTGCAAGAGTTAAACACAGTACAATATATAGTATCGTTGTTGTTGGGGTACATTGTTGTCAGTGACAAGTCTGAAAAATTAGTCTCACTGGAATATGACAGACCCATTAAAATTAAAAATCTGGACTCTAGAAACAGTTTCAACAGTTAAACTTCAACATCCTTCCTTCTCAAAACAGGAGGTTGTTGCATTGCACAGCAGTCTGTGAGGAAGCTCTGGTACCGTATGTTTGTACTCTGGTTTCAGTCCATTCGGTCAAATCAACCATTGTTAAAAAGAGAGGCTTTGATTTAAATTAATGTGCTTTATCCAGAAGAGGTCCTGCATTTAGATATTGAAAAATGAGGGAGCACAGTCCAACATTTGTGTTCTATTAAAGCTTTTATTAGCTAGCTTAGCTTTTCCTCACAGAATTTTTCCAGAATTCCTATAATAGTTCTTAATTCAGTAAGTGAAGTTATGGAAGAAAAAAAGAGCAGCAGCAGTTTGGCAATAATCTTCAAATCACTGACTGCAACTTATTTAAGCCTCCTTTTTCTCCAGTAAGATTTTGTGCAACTCATCTGCATCCTCACTTGTTTTCACCCTTATTAACATAGTGACAGGAACAGCTGGATTCTTCTCATCAATTGGTGGATTAGGAACACAAACTATAAGAACATTGTTTTTTCCAGTTCTCGTGCATGGCATCTTGGGTGGAATTAGAACATTCAACAGTATGTTTCCTGCATATGAGGAGGAAAAAAAGACAATTAGCAATTTTTCAGCTTTTACTGCAACACAGATGTTAGTATACTTACTAAATAGGGATTTAAGTTTGTGTTTGGAAGGAAGGCAATTCACAAATGTCATATATACTTGTCTTATTCTTCCCTAAGCAGGTGTTCACAGCCACTGTTCTCACACATTCCTTTCCTCATTAGGAATGAGGAAATCTCTGAAAATACTGTGCCCTCCTTTTTTAAAGGGAGGAGTCTGAAGAGTATCAAATTATAGCAGGGACACGCAGGAAAAAGGGAAGAGGACAAGAAGCAGCAGCAAATGAGGAATCTGGTCACAGTGCTTAGTTTATGCAAGTTATTCATTCTGACTATCAAGCATGGTTCATAACTGGAAGCAAAAAGTTAGCTTTAACACACACAGACATGTTAATTTAAAAGTGGACAAACTATAGTAGAATAAGTACTTTGTATCCTCAAATCACATCTGATGTGGTCTACCACCAGGTTACTAATAACAGCTCTATGTCAACTTGTTAAATTATGTAGTGAGTTTGACAGCTTCAGTATTAGTGGTCTATTAAAACAGTTGCAAACAAACTCAAATCTGCTTCCACGGAAGATGCACACATTTTGTAAACCTGGTAAATAGTTCAGAACACGGTAGTAGTATTTAGGGAAAAGTCAGTCTTCGCCTTCCTTTCCAGTTCAGTTTTTCAACACAGTGAGATTTTTAGGAAAGGATTATAGCACTGTGTGAAGACAGCAAAAAGGAAAGTGTGCATCACTATGACTGCAGCAGCTTCTAGAAACCAATGCTTGGAAACACCAAGCTGAAATGTCTTAGTGTATGAGCTGAAGAAAAAGGAAGTATTTCCTAGCACATCACCTCAGAGGAAGGTAGAGGCAAATCAACATCATGAAAATTAGCATCAGCTGAGTGAAAAATCAAGACTTGCATTAACCTGGAGAAATCAAGTTTTCATCTGCTCTAGTCAACACATTCAAAGCCCCAAGGAAATGCTGAAAGCACCGACACCTCTGCCATACATCTGTCTGCAGTTTTATTGCCAAGAACTGCCCTTTATCTGGCAAGCCTTGTCTTCACTGAAAGAAGTTAATGATTTAGAAGTGACTAACACAGGAGCCCCGATCTCACCAGGTATTTGAGAACTACCCTCTATGACTCTATACTGCATCTAGACTTCCTAGAGTGCATTACAAACTGAAAGCAAGGCGAGATTTACCGACACCCTGGCAGCACAGCATGGCTTTAGTCCTCAGGTCTTCTATAAGCATAATATTTACTCCATTTTATGGAAGTTGTCAAGTGCATGTGAACCTCACATGCAAGTTTGTTGAAATTAGGTACTGAAGTGTAGCAGTTTCTCAACAATGAGTATCAAAACATTGATTTGCACAGTTCGAATGTGTAAACGCTCTCAGCCAGAACATTACACCTTAAAAACTTCTTTAATGTATCAAGTCCCCCAAACTTTTAAAAGTAAAGGAACAGTTGGATTTTTTTTTCCTCTTTAATGAGCTGTATGTGTTAACATTCATCTCAAAGGATATTCTGAGGAACTATCGCACTACAAGTTACTCTAATTCTATACAGTCATCCTACAACTTGTGATCCAACTGAAGCCAGCTAAAAGACAGTTCAACAGTTGGACTTCAGCATGCATTTTAAAGGCAATGCATATAGCAAAGTCCTGCATGCCTGATCTATGTAATGCTCCCCTTCACCCCCAAGTACAACGGCCATCTGCCCACGTGGCCAACTATTTACGTATTCAGGATGAATTGCAGACAAATGACAGTTGGCCTGCATCTTAGCACAAAATTTATTCATCTTCATTCATCACACCTGATACACATATACTTCATTGGGGATCTTAAGCCATGTTTCAAAGCCACTCAACAAGTCAGGGATGGAGAAAAGCTATTAACAAAGAGCTTGGGGGAAGAATACCCAAACATACACCATAACCTTTTACTTCCTTGCACTGCTCCGTGTGCATTATTTTTGTAATACTCATTAGAAGTATCGAATTGATTGTTCAATACTTGATATTATTAAAAAAAATAGAAAGGTTTTCATTAATTGTATCTGTTATGCTGTGTAACAAAAAAAATCTTAATGCTTAGCAGGGAATTTCACATCAAGACTTGCTACTAGAAGAAATTTACTTACCTAAATTGGTATCTGCTCGGACTAGGAGTTGAGTTTTTTCATTTCCTGCTGGTTTTAAGTGTAATGTTCCTACACCTTTTTCTTTAAATTCATTATCCTTTTTGTAGAATAGTTTGCACCTGTGCAAAACAACCAAAACAACCCAAACTTGTTTGTGCAGATATGTAGAGATTAAATACAACAGTATCTCCCAAATGCATGCGTTATGTATGTATACATCTGACTCACGGTACGCCAACAGTTCAACAATAATCAGGACTTAACATGCTGTGAGTAGCCTAAAGCATTATTCTTCTTGACTTTATTTCCCGTGCTAACAGATAGTAATTCAGAAAGAGAAAGTTAATTATTTCTTTCAGTATTGGAATGACAAATATATTGCTTTCAGGCAAGGAGTAAAATGCACAGCAACCTGTACTCAGGGTCTATAAGGAGTAGTAACTGTAAGCTACTGTTTAAAAAATACTAATTGCAAAACCGTAAGAACTTGCTATATCGTTCTGAAGTTATAATAGGGCTTTTATGTAAAATTTAAAAAGATTTTTTTAAGTGAAGCCCTAATAACCCTAAAGCTATTCTTCATAAATTAGCACATACCTTCTCTCAGATAAAGCAAATGACTCTTTGTAGAAGGACAAATTCTGTGCTAAGTATTAAGCAGACATGCAATTACTTGGACTACTGAACATGCTTTGAAAAACTGCTTCTAGTAGAGGTAGTCTCATTTGGAACTTCAAAGTACAACTTGTTCACTCTTTCATACAACAATAAGCATTTTCCAACTGAAGAGTCTTATTTTAGGCTATGCAAATAGCTGAGCACCTGACTGATTTTTCAGCAGTACAGTATGTTATTTCTGTGGTACCTGCCCTACAATTTAAACATACAAAAACTGAAGAAGGCAAAAACATCATCTTCATTTGTAAAATACTGATCACAAGTAGAACACAAACTAGCTGTAAGTACTGTCTCCAAGATACACATGAATTTTAGTAAGATTCTTGTAACACTCTAAGATTTTAGTAACATTCTTGGTTGCAATTAACTTTTTTACAGGTGGAACTTCATATCCTATATGGCTTCCTAACAAGCTTTATTAACAAGGAAGTCAATAACATATACACCACTAATTATGCACTATAATGGTGAAGAATAGCAATATGCAGGTATGATTTTTATTCTTGAAGTTATAATTGTATTCACTATTCCAAGTTAAAGTCACTTACTTCTTTGAGTAGAAAGCATCATCCTCTTTTATTTCATTAACAATGACTTTTGGTGGCTCTTCTTCCTCCTCTTCCCCTCCTTTAAATAAAAAGTTTTATTACATTCTATATGTTAATGTTGTGAGCATATAATCTGGAAGGTATTTTTGGTGTTGTATTAGAAATAGCTTATGCACGCTAGATTTGTCATATACATGTGCAGCCCGTCAATGATTGCCAAAATGTTTAAATTAATGTGGGCTCTGAAGCAGCTTCAGGTACAGAAAAAAGTCTTATTTTCTTTTCATTCAGGCGCACCCCTCAAGCAACTTCATGCTCATCTTCAATTTAAATGACTGAAAATACCCAACCCCCACCAATCAATCAAACCCAAAAAATACAAAGCTTAACAAGTCAAAATTAAGTCAAACCCTTCTGTTGGGGGAGGAAACAGTTGTAACATTTCAAAGAATAGTCTCCACACATAGGCCCACGTAGAGCATAATAAATACTTCCAACAGCCAAGTTTAATTTGGGGGAAAGGTAATCAGTTGCAGGAACAACAGCCAAGAGACAGCAGCACGATTATACCTTTCCAGTCCCTCAGCTGCTAGGATTTCTATCAGCCTACTGTACCCAGCTTGGCTAAATAGCGGAGTAAAACTGTCAGGAAGTACACAACTTTATTGGCCTTACAGTCTTGTAAGAAAGATGTATGAAATTGTTCCATATCTTACGCATTTTACCGAGGGATGTCTTGATAAACCTACTGAGAAAAGCAGCAGGACTGAAATGTCCTGCAGGCTCAATTATGAACATACCAGTTGATTTAACTTTTACCATTTCAAGGCTTGTATTCAGCTAAAGAATTATATTCTATTACAGAAAGTATAAATCTGACACAAATACATAGGTTTTAGTAACCATATACTTCTAGTGTTACTTAAGCAGTATGCAAGACTGAGATATTTCCAGATTAATGGTGGAGTTTTGCAGCTTTTAAATTCAAGAACAATTATGATCTAGTTCAACTTGGTGTTATTTCATCTTTGCAGTATTCTTAAGTCACGTGCATTCACAGCTTACCATTCAAATAATTGTTTTAAATAGAATTTACCTTTATCGTCGCTATTGCCACTTTCTGTCTGAGCTTCCAATACGTTGGTGGATACTGCAGTGACAGACTTAGCCTGGTTTGCATCTTTTCCAAATAAACCTGAATTCCCAGGAGAAAATGAGAAACTACTAAGTGTTCCTGAACCAAGGGAACCCAAAACAGAACTGTCAACACTCTTGCCAAAATTAAATGAGACTGTTGATGTAGCTCCTAATGATGGATCTTTTTTTTCCGATGCAGCTTCAGGTTTTTTGTCCGAGGTATCCTCAGTTTTGTTGTTGTTAAACAAAAAAGTTGATCCTTGCTGTAGCTTTGAATTCCCAAATGTAGAAAGAGACTGAGAGCCAGGTGTCTTGTTGCTTTCGTTTTCAGAGCCACTGTCGCTACTGCTTCCATGTTGCTGTTCAATATTTGCTAAATACTTCTCATAGTCTCTGAAGATGGGTGTCAGGTCACACAGCGGGTTTGTGTTTACATGCTTAGCTATCCAGTCACGCACAGAACAGTTTAAAGCAGCTAACTGTTTGTGGTAAACACCAGAGCTACAAACTTTACTCTGAGCATAGCCAGATGAGGATGGTTGACTGCCACCATTAGCTTTTGGGCTGGCTGCCTTTTTCTCAGGAAATGCGGTAGTAGTCGGACCATTTGACATTATGGATCCTATTTGAAGAAAAACATGCTTTAGAACACATTTATTGCAGAAAGTACAGTTCTCAAAAACTTAAACTGAATGTTCTCAATATTTGTTTATCAAATCACTCATTCTCGCTCAGTTAGATACTTGGTCTTTCATCACAACCCTCTGTACCAGATACTGCGGTACAAGTAAACAGACAATGCTGTGAAACAGATCTATGCTTGCCAAGCTTAGACAAGTTAGTTCAGGGGACAGACAAAGTAGATGGAGCACACAGTTTTATAAAAAAATCCAAAGAAATCCTACAGAATAATATTAAAAGTTTTGTATTTCACCAAAACCCCCCAAATCTTAATTCAAACTTTACCAAACTGCAAGAGTTACTAAAACAGAGTATTCAGTTATCTCTTGCTACTTGTGCTTTAAAAACCTCTGAACACACTAGTGCATGATTTTGCATGTTTGAGTGGTTTCCATATAAAAAAACATAAGCAAATTGAGAAAATTCTCATTAAATATTTAAGTTTCTCTTAATTTAGTTTATTTACTTTAAACTTCAAACTCTACCCTTTCAATTCTGTGTCACGCAGACTCAAACACTGTGGCAAGGTTAACACTTCTGCAACTTCAACACAAAAGGATAGAACTAATATTCTTCAGGGAGTACCAAAGCATGAGACTAGAGTTAGATTTGCCAAAATATTTCAAGTGTCTTAAAATGTAGGTATAAATGTAACAGGTAAGATTCTAGCAAGACTGTTTGCAACGTAAGATGTACAGGGAAAAAAGGTTAAGATTTCAGCTATGCAGCATATATTTATCAAGAACTGCAAAAAATACAGAAATGAGACCTTACCCCCAACAAAAAAAAAAAAATCACAGGAAGAAACTGCAGTCCTACAAAATGGACATTTTTCATTAGCTTTTTTTTTTCTAAATTTAAATTCAGAGAATTGGGACAATTATTCAACTGGAACATGTTATCAGCTGTTTTATACTATTTGGAGAATGTCTTATGCCAATGTCTTCCATTCCCATTTGTGCCTATAAAGCTTTTACCTCCAGTATTATCTCAAATACAGATTTAGTTTCCACCTCTTAAAACTGCATGCATTTGATAACTGGTCCCTCCAGCAGTCTAAAATCTTTTTAAGAAATTTTACAAAGAGGAATAAAGTCTTAAAACGAACTACAGGGTTGTTTTAATTTAGTTTTTCTTTTTTAAATTAACCCTACAGATTTTATGGCTGAATTTGTTGATAAAGATGTATGCTTATTTAAAACTTACCAAATGCTGATTGTGTTTCGGAGGTGGTCTTTAAACTGCTGAAAGAAGGAGTGCTAGAGACACTACTGCTTCCATTAGACAGCCCTTCTAAAGGCTTTATTCCTGCACCATTACCAAATCCGCTGAAGCCACCTCCTCCTTTTCCAGAAGGCAATATAAAGCCTTTAAACCCTTTAAAAGCTCCTCCACTTTCAGACTAGGGAGATGGAAGGGGGGAGGGAGGGGAAAAAAAAAAAAAAAAAAGAGACAACCAGTTACATACATCTCCTCCACAAAAATCCTATGCCTACATAATATTCCATTTATTTTACCCTGGTTCAGCCTGTCATTTCATGCGTTATTCTAAGTCAGCTATGCAAACAAAGTTAATAACTTCCTTATGACACATATTGCTACTATTTTTAAACAACTCAGATGTTTGGTATGAAAATAAACTAGATCTAGGAAGTAGATACATAAAAGTTGTTCAGAGCAGCAGATGTGTTTGACTACCTATTTAGGCATTCATAGCATCTTGGTTTCTTTAATTACATAGCAGTATATAATTGCAGGCTTATTTTCAGCAATTTTTAGCATTTACAACCGCAATTAGAGTCCAACACTTCAAGCCACTCATCAAAACAGCACACTTTGTAGTCACCTATGTAAGGTTTATGTGATTTAACAAAAATATTCCAATGTGACTGATGGGAGAAACAAAGATTGACTGTACTTGATAACATAATATGTACGCTTTCTGCAGCCTTTTCACTATCTAGTTTGGAACACTATCTTTACAACCATATTATTTTATGGTGTAGTTTCTTACATGTTTTTGAAAGATACGGTGTGATGAACATGCAACTATGCACTGCCACTTTCTGGTACTACACATAATGTCTTTTGAAGTAATGAACACTTATTACCAGAAGTGGACTTTCAATGTCTCTGGAAAGCCATCAGAGAAAAAGGAATATTGCTTCTGAGTTTCATCTGCTTTTGCCACTGAAGAAATAGCAAAATTTACCAATTTTAGGTTCTGTTCCAGTATCTGGCCTTGTGGATATGGGCTCTTTTTGTTTCCCTTGTGCTTTACCTTTTCCAGTGCAGTCCTGTTTCTCATTTCTAGGTAGGTATTTTTATTCTGTCTCTCTTTGATCAGTCCTACCTACCTCTCTCTCTGGTCATTCAAGCTAAACTGCAGTCTTTTTCTTTACAGCATTCTGGTTGCTCCATTTAGGGCCATCCATAAGTTTCAACTTTATCTTTTTGTAAGTATTTCACGGGCTTCTTATGCAGCCTCAGCTGTCCCACCATCTCTTTTGATTTTTAGACTTTGCCCAGCCTATCCTAGCTCTTCTTCCAGCTTTGATCTCTAACAGCTGACTCCCAGCCTCCTGACTAGTTCTCCTACAATCATCTGGTCCCCTTTCTCGGCCATTTTTCCTATTCCACTTGCCCCTGAATTCCTCCTCTTCAAGTTGTGGTTTATTTCTTGCATCACCTCTTTCCGGTGCAATCTTTTAATTGCATCCTCTATCACATTTGTGGTTAAAACTCCTATAGGCCAAAGTGGGATAGGACTGCTTCCTTATTTACATTGCTTGGACAGCAGAAGGAAAATCAAAAGCACAGGAGAAAACTATCTAGCCCCTAATTGTGCCTAGTCTCATTCAATCCAAAAGCAATCTGAGTGACAGGCAAAGTTTCTGTCCTATTTCTAACATGGTGCATGCACGCCCTGTTGAAGATCGTTTCATAGAAAGGTATATATAACAAGGCATCTGTCAGGGACTTTTTGAAAGGACAACAATTTGGTTGGACTTGGGTTAATGCTTTCACAGGGATAAACCTGTAACAAAGGCCAACTTCCTTTCAATTTTCAATTTGTTATTGCAAAGAGTAGGTGGCACTAAAGCTCTTCATGGGGTGGGGCGGGGGGGCGGAAAGTAGCAACATTCTTAATAAAAGACATGTTTTTCCTTCTCAGAACAGCTTAGAGTTTTGACTTTTACTTATTTAGCCTCTGAAACATCCTCCAGCCCTCCAGTATAGATTACTAGTAGCTTTTGATTTCCAGGCTTCCATCTCTGCAAAAAATGAAACTGGAGCAGTTCAAATGCTATTTTCCCCATCTGTAGATGACATTGTGTCTGAAACACTCTGCATTTATACTTCAAAAACATAGACCTCTCTTCACCCAGTCAGTACTAGTATTACCCATTTTTTGTTCTAGCCTTATTCTTGCTATGGAACAGTAAGCGAAAATTTATTTGCATGCACAAGCTGACTAGTTGCATATACCTTCTAAATGGTAGCTTTATACAGTATTATTACAAGCCCAAATAAGTAAAAACCTGAGCATGCATGTCATATTTTGCAACTAAGTTAAACTACGTTAATGCTCAGTGATAACATACCTCCGATCCAACATTTCGGCGCTTTGCTTTTTTAATAGCCCTGTTCTTCAGGACTTCTTCACTAGCTACCGAGAATGTTCCCACCTTTAAGAGAAAGTTACGGAATCATTAGTGAAATTCTGGGAATGCATAAAATCATCATAGTCTGAACAGATAGCTGAGATCAGTTTTTGAATACAACTGTAACACTGCTCCCTAACAAATAAGGGAAGAAGAAAAAAAAACCCCACACCCAGAAAATATAGTACTGCAATTAGCTTGCCAGCTACTTGGATGTTAGTTGATATTTTCAAAACTCTGTCCTTCTTGTTCTGCATTACATTTCCCTTCGTGCAATCTCAATTTTATTCTGACAAATAATTCAAGACTTTTAAATTTATTTTTTTTTTTAAACAAAGCTCTAAGGTATCTTCGCTGAAGGTAATCTGTCAGCATTGCACTGTTACAAAGAATCTGCAGTTTGGAGAAGGTATATTGAGATGTATGCTGTAAGTCAATTTCCTGCGGTCTGCTGTAGTTCAAGTATTAGCAAAGGCAGCTAGTGACTAATTACTCCCTTGTAATAAATGAGGAAATTGAAGTTTTCTTCTATTCAAATTTCTGGAAGAGTACTGTCAGTTTTCTTTCTCACATCTTATAGGCCCAAACATTTAATACTTTTAGCAGCACAGAAGCTAGCAGGTTTTTTAGACATAACACGAGCCATAAGTATGAGACACTAAACATGAAGATCTCTTTTTATAATCAGATGAAACATATCATTTGACTGTTTGCTTAATTCCTCTGGCTGTGTAGAGACATTCAGCTAAGCACTCCAAATTAACTTCTGAAATTAACTATTACTGGCCTTTAAAAAAATAAGAATCATGAGATGTGAAGAAAATTTATCTTAAGGAATCAAAAGCGCTTTTCTTGTGAACTCAATAAATACCCATCACACATTTGAAGAGTTCAAAAGCATTATGCATTTTAACAAGCCTGGAGTTTCCTTTTGAAATGTAAAATTCCTTTCTCCTGAGCTGCTGATGTCATTTTAACTGTTAAAAGCTGTTTTGCCCTATGGTCAGCATATATTGGGAGCTTTATTTAAAAAAAAAACAAAACAAAAAACCCACACCCAAAAAACCCCCTTATATAAAATTAGCTTTAATTGCTATACTTTTAACCAATTTCCCTGTAGATTTCACCCACAAGATAAATAGCACATGTAAATAACCACCCTACTATCTGTACCCTGGGGTGAGGTCTAATGTATATCCTACCTCCTCAGCTTCATCCTCTTGATCCCAGTTTCTGTCAGTCAGTTCCTTCTCTGCAATTCTCTTTGCCATTTTTCTATACCTGTGTGTGGGGGGAAAAAAAAGCATAGAGTCAATTGCACAGAAATTAAATCTAAGCAACCGTGATCTTCATTTTATATTACTTAGAACAAATAATGGGAATCGGTGTTAATATAGAAATAGGTCAAAACTGGAATGACAGTTGAAAACAAAGTGTTTCTAACAACTGTTGTGGCAACAACAATCAACAGCACATGAGATTAAAGTTGTGGTGATAAGCCACATGTGATCTTAAATTTAAGCAACAATAGAAACATGCAGTTTAGTTATGGGATAAGTTTTCTTTAGCAGCAATGCTGGCTAAAGAAATTCCTTTCAGTCCCATAACCCATATACCTCGTCACCACTTACTGTGAAGGGCTGCAAAAAACCCAAAAATATGGAAAAAACCATCTGGTTAAACATTCCATATTGCACTCCATCTTGCCTCAGAATACCCACGTAAGCAGCAAGAGAAAAGTAAGTTGCTTTATAGCACCTGAAATAAATACCAGTGAGGACCTACTGAAGCAACTGGACAGAAAGCTTGGGTATGAATGAAGACCATGCTCTCCTACAAAAAAAACCAGGATCAGTAGAATATTACTAATTAGAGAAATTTGAAAAATTCTATTTGTGTGACCCGACGCAGGAACAACCACAAAGCCATGGATGAAATGCAAAGAGTAAGTTATTTTCATTACCTCACGAACCAGGGGATCTCCGGAGCAGCACCCGGGCAGAGGCACCCAAGTGGGAATGCAGGCACCGCAGAGCTCAGTCCTTGCTAGAGAGTCACCGCACCTGCTGCTTTTGCCTGTGTATCAGGGATTCACACAGGCATAGTTTACTACTGTGCTTTGATCTTTCCCACAGCAGGGCAGGAATCTCAAGCATGTTCGATAGGGTGCCTCTGAGTTTATCACAGGCCTATGTTTTCTAAACGCAGATGTTCTCCTTGTCCAACACCAAGGCTAAACAATGATTAGTATGATACACGTTTTTCCACACCCTACCTACAAGTCACTTGAGCGTGTTTACAATCCTCCTTGCCAATCTTCCACTATTTTCCCCACACTATTACAAATAAATCAGATTATTTTTCCTCCAAAGGACACATAAAGTGTATCATGGATTTTAGAGCAATCACTATAAGCATCCAATCATCATTCTGCTAGTTATCTCTGCAATGTAAAGGAAAATGAACTTTGGAGAAGGAAGGTCTGTAGTATTTCTAACTTCTGAGTTCCATTTTACTAAAGTACAACTTATCAGCTGTGTACAAAACCAAAGATTGAATCCAGCTATCATATTTTGTATCTGAAAGACTTGGCAAGCAATCACATCACTCACATTGTATATGAAAAAAGGGAGGTTTTTTACTAAGATTATATCATCTAACACTAAATGTGAAAACTTTTCAAAGAAAAGATGTAGTCTTGTAGCAATTTAAGTCTCAATCAAGCACAAAAAATAAACTCTAAAAAAGCCTTTTAAGTTTGTGATTAAGACCTGGCCAGATATAAAAAAAAATAAATTCCACAAATAGTTGAATTTCAGAGCCAGACACGGTACAGGATTATAGAACATCTTGTTTAGCCAGTGAAATATTTTTAAACAGAACAGTAAATCCAGCTGCACAGCAGTCCTACAGAGATCACGTCAAAACCATGGATTTTGGTCTGACACACTTCACAAATAAGGTCAAGTTATTAGGATCTTTTGGAAGTACAGTGACAAAAGCGTGTTTTGTGTAAACTTTAAGTCACCCTAATCCACACCATCCAGAAAGTAAAGGTCCTACCATGCCCTGCTTGATTCTCTGCAGATTGGGGAACCATTTAAATCTAACCCACTGAGGAAAAAAAACCCCAAACTTATTTTAAAGTCATATTGGCTCCCCAGCCCAGTTTCCCGTAAGGGTATACAAACACTTGCAACCAGAGGAACACAAGATTGCATCTCTTTGGTAGCAGCCAGAGCTCAAAGGCTAGTAAAACCTAGAATTACACCATCGGAGTCCACAGAAGATCAAATTACCACTCTTAACCCAGCCGCTGAAGCATGACAAGCGCATTAACTAGAAAGCCTGTTCTCCACTAATAGAAGAGGGGTAAACCTGTTGGCCTTGGCTCCAGGTTCTTTCCGCCTACCTGTGTTTACGTGATTTCTCTACCTCAATACTGAAAACAGGAAGAGACAACAGAATCTAACGTAGATGAAGACAGGAGCAAGAGAATTCTAGACATGTTTTCTAACCTGTGAAACAAGAAGCAACACAAAACCACCTCTATCTGGTATCGACAACCTTCAAGAAGTTTTAGTAGCAAACGTTCTGAACATGTTGAGATGAGAGTATTTTGAGAAACAGCTCTTTTTATTGAACACACACACCCCCAATATAGGTGTTTTGTCGAACTACTAAAATCCACCTAGTAACTACAGCTGTCCTATTTAACGCAGCAGTTTGAGAACAAGACTTAATTTAACATTTGCATTCCGCAAGATCACCTCTCTACCATAAGGCGACAAAACTTCCACTGTTGGAGCGCCCATCCCAAAACCAGGCGGCGATAGAAGTCGCCGGTACCTCACCACGCTCGCAAGACCGAAGAGGTGCGGTGAGGCCACGCATGCCCGCCCAGCGCTGCAGGCGCTTTGCAGTCCCGGGCTGCGTTACCGGGCAGGAAACGCCTCCAGTTATTTCATTTCAGGGTGCGCAGAGGCGG